AGAGGCAGCCCCAACATGTTGGCGATCGAATCAGTGACGATTTTAGCGATTTTTATTCAAATTGCAGCATCAGAGATGGACCTACCATGTTGTCGACGATTTTGGGGCCCTTCTAGCCAGGTCATATCTATTCAGTCGTGTGAGTCTCGTATAATTTTGTCAGCAACCTTGGCAAAATTTCGTCAGAATCGTTACTTTCGCCAAAATTTCCACAGATTGACAACTTTTGTCAAATCCGTCAAAATCGTCAACAAAATTTCGTCAAATCTGCCATTTTCGATACCGCATGCATTTCTGGGCGTATCTCTAATTTAAAGAAAGCCTTGATGAATAAAAGGCACATAATTCAGATTCAGCTGAGGAAGATATATAAAGTGAGCCTCCCATTATCTCGTACAAAAGAGGAAAATCGCTCAAAAACACACTCGTGAGATTCAAACGTATTCTCTAAAGGAAAAGGAAATACATTTACGAACAGCAGCAGTCGACAATGTAGGTCTGTCACAACTTCTTAATTTCTTGAAAATGAAATATTACCTGGAAGTCCTTAGCGACTGGGAACTACTTCCGCGATGCGAGCTCAGAATCTCGACCAGGAGCACTAGAGGGATAACTGGAGATAAATGATATTTCCAACACCTTTCATACTCTTTTATGTAAAAAATAAATCTATGCGATTATGGCCGATAATAACCCATAATTTTAAAATGAGACACATCTAATCCGTAATCTGTAAATTTGATGGTCAATAAACCGTACCCCTTCTCTAAAAACCCCTAATAATCCATAATCCTAAACCCTATCAGGGTATCCCCTTTTGGCGACCAAGATCTAGACAACGCGGCTTGCATTCTATGACTCGGGCTTTCCTAAGCCCGAGTAATGAATGATACTCTTGAAGCATTTCGCTGACATAGAAAGCGATCCGATGCCAACCCTTCACCAAGCGGAAGTTAATTTACCATTGAAACAGGGCCACAACATTTTTTGAAAAATTTAGATTGTCTCAGCTGAACACAAATTGCCTCACGCAAGAGGCCATATTCGTTTTCGGTATTGGACTGAAACTAGCTTGCAACAGAGGCTAATTTGGGGAGTCTTTTCAAATGCAAATGATATTTTATCTCTTTTTAATGATATTCCCTCCGCACCAGCCTCCATGGCGAGCTAGACCCAGTCCAATACCGAGAATAAGTAAAGTAAAGTCTGCCGTACGAGCCAAGTGGCCCATCAGGCCGGA